AGCAATCTTAACGGAATGTGCTCGTATTAGTGTTAAAGCAATATATGGTATATCTACATATGTATAAATGTACATATGTATATGCATGTGTTTATGCGTATCCATCTTAAAATCTTGGCAATGTGATAAAATTTATGTAATCTGTAGACAGACAAAAATCTTCTCGAAAAGTCAACTTTTTGATCAAAATATTCAGTAATTTATTTTAACTAAGTATATAGTACTTCTATGTATGTCGGTTATTGAATGAATATTGGGAAGACGGCCATTAAAAGCACGATTATAGAATAAAGATCAGGAATGAGTTAACGAAAGCTTACGTTAAGTGTTCGGGTCATAAAAAACATAAAGGTTTTATTTTCTACAAAATATTGGTGCAAAAATATTTTTCGTGACCACATATTCGTTTAAAAGCATATTTAATTATAATCTTGCAACATGTTGCTATAGTATATACAGTAGTACCTCGATTCTTGCACGTAATGAAAACTGAGTTCGGTGCAAATATTGAGGATGTTGCAAGTAGCAAGTATCTTTTTTCATATAAAATAATTCTGACATTTATTTATTTATATATTTTTTTATTTTTTATACGTATTCCAATTCAAAAATCCTTAAATTAAATATGTTAGTATATATACATACATATGTATATACTTAATATAGGTAGATAAGCATGCATACATACATACTTGTATATACATATATTGTGGAATTAAAATAATTTTTAATTTTTAATTGTTTGGTACAAGTTTGCTTGTTCGGCACTACATTGCTTCTGAGCCTCTGAAGCGTCATAATATTGTCTCCGCTGACGTAACTTTCTTCGTATTGAGGATAACGTCATTTGTTTCTTCCCTTTCAGTAGAGTTATCATCATCGGCACAGTGAACTTCATTCTGTACGAAATACTCTAAAGTAGGTTCAACAATCCATTGCCCATTTTCAGAATTGGATATTTTCTGCAATGGTTCTACTTCTTGAAGCAAACTTGAAATGGTGTTTTTTGGATATACATAGCTTCAGCTAGTTGTAAACGTAACTCGGAAAGAGAGATGTCATCTTCATTATACCATTCGTTTGTTATGTCAAACTATTTTTGAAAAGATTACGTAATTGAAGACAGTTTAATGGTATTCCATGCGTTAAATAAAAAACATATTGCGTCTTTCAAGCTAATGCTTTTCATAGCTTCGTCTACTGATTTTCCTCGTAAAAGGCTTGTTTTGTAGTTCATTTTCATAAACCATATGACATTCTGGTCCATGGGCTATACCAGCAGCAGTACAATTCGGAGGAAGACACATCACCAATATTTGGCCACCAGTACTCTTAACCTCTCCATCTTTGGGGTGACATGGAGCCTTATCTATAAATAAAATAGCTTTTTCGAGAAGATTTTCGCTACGGAGAAACTCATTAACCTGCAGTTTTAAGAAATTTAAAATTGATAAACAAACCTCTACACAACTGTGGAACAAATGTTTTGTGAAACCATTTTTCAAATAAAACCAAGGGCATCCAAGCACTTTTATTTCCTTTGGAGACAACAGGAAAATCAACAAAAGTTTTAATTGAGCGTGAATTCAATGATTTCCGAATAACCATTAATTATACTTTATGATTACCAGACGCATTCGTACAAACAATATAAGTTATTCTTCCCTTCCTGATATTTTGTCCCGGTGCCAGGTTTCTTTTGAGCACACAAGAGTTATATAAGGCAAAAGATTCCAATTTGGTCTTTACCTTGAGCGTATGAGTCGTGATAGGTAAGTTCTTTGCTCGTTGTTTTGCAAACCATTTCATGAGTGCTTTTTCCATTTTTGATAGTTCTGATGGTTTAAACCATCTTTCCAGGGCCAGATTCAGCATGCGACACGAACTTCTTTAAGGCGGCACTCTACGCACTTGGAAACTCTTGGCTAAGGAATTGACAGAATATTCTACACATAATTTCTTTAAAATGTCAACTTTCACACGGAATGGTCCTTCGTACTGCATCTGTGTACCAACTCAATTTTCTACATTTGCTCATTGCTTTACGATCATTTTTTCTTGTTACGATCGTGATCACTGCACGTTGTGTAAGCGAATAACATGTTAGATTGTATAAAATGGTACTAATATTCCTCGAGAGTGCTCCCTTCTGTTAAGAAAAGCACATCTGATTTTAGGGTTTTTCGTAAAAAACTCAATAGTGGCTTCTCTGTTTGGTTTGCTCTAGTAAATATTTATAATTAAATTGCTCAAATCACAAATAACCTTTCACGAAATAAAGAAATTTTCAACTAATCTTAAAAATATCATATTCACAATAAATTTTAATTATTTATTTATAAAAAAAATTATTAAAAGAAAAGGAAATCGGTATATAATAGAAACTACTCATATCGAAACAAAATTTAAATTTATCTTATCACGTATTTAAGTATACATACATAGATACATATATTGAAAATAAATCCAGTACTTGCGGTTAACGAACTACCAATTAGCATTTTTTTATTGCCGAAAGATGCTCCGACGCAATACTCTATTAACGTCTGAAGGAAAGTCATAAGCTAACCTAAAAATAATTCATTATGTCTAATACTTCTCACTATGAGGTAAAACAAATAGGGAGAAGGAGTCATTATTCATCATTCGACTGAATTATTGTTATTAGTTGAAAGTGACTGACTCATCACATTGAGGTTAAAAACTCAACTTACACCGAAATTTGTGTTTTTAATGCAAAGATTTCTTTCTGGTGAAAGGAATGATTTTAATTATATACTACTTGTACTACTACTCCTTTAAGAACAAACATTCATGTGATTAAAATTAAAATGCATACATACATATGTGCATACACTGTTGTTTATTGTTGATATTTGGATTATAGATTTACAAGAATGGTTTATACATTTTTAGTAAAGAAAAGTGAAAATAGCTAAACATCTTTAATTGGCTAGGACTTATACGACCAATATGCGGCATATATATGTATGTACATAGATTTTTCTACGTTATCTGGTAGTAATTAATCGGACATTTTTTAATTCTGCTGAACTCAATCATGGTTGCAAATAATGCATTAGTATACTTCAATCAACATTTAAATAAATTTTTGTTAATCCCGAAATACTTAATAAAAAATAATTTTCAAATTTCGGATAAAAAAAATTTAGAACTTCTCTTATTTACATTTGATAATTTTTTATTACAGGTTTTCAGATAGAAATGTGTGCATACATATGTAAATTTTTTTATACCTTTTCATTCTAGATGCATTAAGGAGAGGGGGCTAAAGGTTTTAATGTAAAAAAAAAAAACACATTGTGTAATTTTATTCGGACCTTTTTTAAATTATAGAACATAATTTTGACAACCTAGGGTAATATTTTCCAACAGAAATATTGAATCATAAGCCTTTAATAGAGCTTCTAACAGAACGTCCTGAGAAAAAAACACTTTACAGTGTTCACCATAATTCGGTTGGAAATTATCCGAAAATAAAAAACGAAGAAAAATTTGTCTAACTATAATCAAATCTTCTCTCCATAGTTCTTTGATAATTTTTCCATTTTGTGGGTGGGATTTATTTTATACGCCAAAAATGTGTAAAAAGTAGTTTTGAGAAAAACACGCCTAAAATCTATAAACTAAAAAAGTTACAAAAAAATTACCCTGCATTGTCAAAAGTGTGCTCAACAATACCAAATGGTCGGAATAAAATTACTCATTCCATATTTACGAAATAAATTCGCAAAAAAGTATTTTTCTTTTTTTCATTATGGAAATATATTAATCAATTCCACATAGCGATGTCTTCCTTATATGTATCCTCAATACCATATTCAGACCAACACTTAATCACAAAATTAAAGCTGTTGAGCAGATTATATCACTAATTTACATCATTTATCAAGACATGCTTCGATCGGGTGGTGAAAAACCATTGATTTATAAATCTTCAAAGACAGTGGGGAAGGCCTAGAATAGTGAATAGATTAATTGTAATCTACTCACTTAAAATTTTTGGATTTAACATTGTATAAGTAAATGATAGAAACTTTATTCTACGTGTTGACAAAATATTTTCAGCTGTGATTATAAAATAGCCCGTAAACTGATTGCCACAATTCTTGTAGGGTTTAAAATTTTGAACTTTTTTTCCAACTCTTACCCCCTCAATTGTTAGTGTTTGACAAAACAATAATCCTCCCTCAAGCCAGGCGCTGTAGCTTAACTCTAACGGGGCATTTCGACAGGATAAAATCTATGTCTTACTAACTGTATTCGTATTGCCGTGCCTATTGCCTGTGGAGACTCCACATTGCTTATTGCTTACAATATATGGAATACTAATTAGTTTGGACAGTAAACATAAACTGTCACTTCAGCAGTTTGACGGCGCAGTTTTCATTTCTATGAAAATTTCGAAGAGGCAACATATCCCATTTGCACATACATATGCCGACGGCATTTTCATTTCGGTAATATGAAATTTAGAAGAGCGGGTACTAAGATGTTGGGTTATGTTATAAAAATAAAGTACATTTTCAAAATAACATTATTCCAAAAAATTAATATTTAGTTTAATAATTAATTTAAAGAAAAATTATGAAAATTGGGTTGGGAATGACCGAAGTCCTAAATTTAATAAACTTATTCTTTATTATTAAAAAAAATTTTTGAAGCACCCTAATGTATACATACGCATGGTTTATGTAGTATAGTTTGTTGTGCGTATGGACGACAACGTCTTCGAAGGATAAGTCAAACACGCAACAGCATGGCGCCATAAGCAACTTCATACACACATACATTTGTATATTTTAAGTAGAAAAGGCGCGCCATTCCTAGAGGAGAGTTGGGAAATAAAAGCGCAAAAAATATATGTACGTCACAACCGGTCAGACATTCGTACTTGAGGTCAATAAACTTACACATTGAATGTTGTTTAATGACTTCATTTGTTGTTGGCGGTTAATATAAAAAAAATTTTCACTTACCACTGTATCCTCAGAAACAGCTGATTTGCCATTGTTGGCATACTGATGATAGCGCGGGACGCCTTCCGCCGCTGCAATTAGCTCAGCCATTATTACGAACAAAGCGATTATAGTCGGCATAGGAATTGATGAATTTCGAAACATTTTTTTGAATACACTTGTGTTTTGCAGGCAGTGCTGAGATGTGAACAACTGGTTGCTTGATTTCTTATACTTACATATGTATGTTTACAGAATGTACGTATTTACATATAAACGATTTATTCAACGGAATTCAAATAGTCAATAAACAAATCTAATCGCAATTATATATTGAAATAAAATTGCGAAACTTCGTACTTTAATATTTTTAATAAAGACCATTTAAACAAAGAAAAATAGGAAAACTCGTCACATGCAAACATTTGTATATATTATCTTAAACGCACATATCCACACACTGAATTTACCCACTCATAGAATTTGTTTAGATTTGCTTTGAATGTGGATGACGAAGTGATTTTTTACTTCTTGTGAACTCGGTGCACTTAATAATAATCTAATTTTCGTATAATTTTTGATGTATAATGGCATTATTTAATACTAAAAAAACGCATTTATTATTTTCAGATTTTTGTGCAAATGGCCAACGTTAGTCAGCATTCGCTTTGACACCAAATAATTAACACATGCGCAGTGTCGCGTATTGGAAGTGAGGGACATAAAGAAGCGCAAAGTGAAGGATTCGCAGCAAACACCACTTTGGACGTCACCGCGTATTGTTATTCATTCAATTATTTATGTGTTCTAGCTGCCGATTTAGGTCGTCGTAGTGAGCCGATAACGCACATAAATTAATATCTAATTTTAAAGCATTTGATATTTGCCCATCCATTCACACCGAACAGCGATTTGTTTGCTTTTATACTATAATTATTACCAGATACATATGTATATATACATATATGTATTAATACAATTACGATGTTCTCCAACCACGTAAGTACATACATAAATATGTACGTCGAATTCAAATTTGCTGTGATTATGAAGGTAGTAACAGGGAGTCCGATTAAAAAGAATTGTCGTTGATTGTGTTTTTACTATACAATATTAATGAGTGCCAGAAATTGATTAATAAATAAACACGTTCATAGAAGTACAAACAGCTGCAAAGGCACTACGCGACGTGCGTATAAATCGAAACTGAAAACTGTGCTTACTGCACTTTTATTCGAACCAAGCAACGGCTCTCGGACCCACTCAGCCGTTCACACTCAGAGACTCCGCTTGCGTGCTGCATATAAAGTTTATAAACAAAAATAAACCGTTTGTATTCGCTTATACATAAATACAATTCAATCTACGCATGGAGTAACATATTTGTACATAAATGGTTGTGTATTCATTTGTATATATATGTAGATATGTATATAAGTTATAAGTTCATTCTGTATACAATGCATAAACAAAACAATATGTTTATACTTCGCGTAAAACAAACCACACAATCAAGCAACTCTCCGCGCACTCAATCAACTCGAAAGAGAAACTTCTCTCAGCCGTTAAGGTATTTACAAATATATGCATTTTTTATATTACCAAGAGAATGTGTAATCAATTCCATTCCCGATCGTGAACGGCTGATCATATACACCACAAAATATTACAAGTCGCTGCTTTGTATGAAGTTGAGTGAGACTGTGTTCACAGAGAGATACTTTCTCTGTCAGTATCGACAAATTCTCTTTTTGCGTTAATATAGGCAACACGAGGCAGCCATCTTGAGGCGGACAATTTTCTTTCATATCACGCTCTCAAGATCTTGTACGTGGTGCTCAAAAGTATTTTTGATTAGCTAATTTTTACTCATCCTTATCTAAAACATATACTTAGCACGTTTCAAGAATAATCCAATTCAATATACATACATATATCAATTGATATACATTCGGCATTCATTCACAGTTCGGGAGCACGGTCCTTACGCCTTTCTCGTCGTCCCTTTGCCAAGAAAAACCTGTTTGGACGACAAAGAACCATTCGTGTGAACGCAGTCTCAGCAGCTGGAGAAAAGACTCTTCATAAAAAACCGAAATTCACGACTGATGGCGGTTTTAAGTAAAATTGGTCATCGTAATGGTTCTCACTTTCATTCACTCTTTTCAACGTTATGTGAGTAATGTATTTATAAACGCGAGTATACTTTTTATACATACAGTCACGATAATTTGTTAGTCATGTTATCGTAACAGTAATAACCCAGTTTTCAAAGAATCAAAAATTTAATTCAATTACAGATAATTCATATTATTTGAAAATTCAATTCATGACATGCATATGTCCATATTACTTGGGATTTTTTATAACTTAAACAAAGATGAAATTACTCATGATGTTTCATAGAAATGCAAAAATTATCAATAACCGATATGTATATACATATGTATGTATGTATATTGATTATGTTGTCTTTCCTATTCATTTATTATAACCAATGATAAAGAAAAAACGTTAACTTCTGCTGTACCGCAGCTAATATACCCTTCACAGGTGCATTTCTTTTAGTAACTACACTGTATTCAGTTTTTATGGAAGCTATATGCTACAGTAATCCGATCTGAACAATTTTTTCGGAGATTATATTATTGCCTTAAGCAGTAATCCATATCAAATTTCGTGAAGATAAATCGTCAAATGAGGAAGTTTTCCATTCAAGCATTTGATTAGGATCATATAGTTTGTATGGCAGCTATATACTATAGATAACCGATCTGAACAATTTCTTCGGAGATTACATTATTGCTTTAGAAAATATTCTATACCAAATTTCGTGAATATATACATATATCTTGTCAAATGCAAAAGTTTTTCATACCAGCACTAAATTCCGATCGTTCAGTTTGTATAGCAGCTATATGCTATAATAAGCCGATCTGAACAATTTATTTGTATATTACATTATTATCTTATAAAATAACCTGCGCCAACTTTTGTGAAAATACATTCTCAAATGTGAAAGTTTTCCATACAAGAACTTGATTCCGATCGTTCAGTTTGTATGGCAGCTATATGTTATAGTGGTCCGATATGGGTAGTTCCGACAAATGAACAGCTTCTTGAAGAGATTTTAAAATTTCTTATAAACTGAGGGACTAAGTCGTATATATACAGACGGACAGACAGACAGAGGGACATGGGTAAATTGACTCAGCTCATACTGATCATTTAATTCATTATAAGTACATATATTCTTTATAGGACCTCCGACGCCTACTTCTGGGTGTTACAAACTTCATGGCAAACTTAATATACCCTTATCAGGGAATAATTAAGACAAGTGTGGGATGTGAGTCCAACAAAATATGACATAATTTCGAGATTTTTAGTAATAGTAGTAGAACATTTACATACCACTCTTCTTAATTTTTATAGGCTTCTAAGTTAGTCTATTCTTTTCAGACTGCAATGGAAATGGCTACGCTTGGACTAGACTAACAAGTTCCCTTTAGAATTTACATATGTATGTATGTATATGTTTTTGTCTACCAACTACCTTTATGTGTTGAACACAATGCAGCAGTGAACTGCAAATGGCGTTGTGAATCCTACTACATGAACGTTTGTGAGAGGGCAGCAACATAACAATTTCCGGCATGTACACAAATTCGTTGTGGCCATACTAATACCTTGCACTTCAATGAAATTTTAATATTTTGTTCAAAATGAAATTTTTTAAGCCAAAAATAAGTAAATATGTATTTGTTTTAAATTAAAACTTGTTATTATAAACGATGTAACAGAGCTATTTTATGCTTTTATTTGTAAAATAACTTCAGATTTGTTACAACTTTGAGTAATTTAACATTTTACATATTAGTGGCATCACCACTGTTCCTCATCTCTCTACTGTCAACTCTACGGTCGTCCTACTATCGTTGGCAGCCTTGTAGTCGTGCAGCTGTCAAAATAGGTCTGTCCATAAGAACGAGTGTATTATAATATTTCACAGATGTCGTTTGCAGTCTGTCGCGAGCATTGTGTTCAACAGATTACTCATCAACAGTTGGTAAGTATCAGTTAAATTATACGCCAATTGCTGTCATGTTATTTTTGTTCAGTATTATTTGGCATTGCATTATAGAAAGACTTACGCCTAATCAACGTATACAAATTGTTAAATTTTATTACCAAAATTACGTTCTGGAAGGAATGTGTTTCGCCCGCTTCGTTGAACTTATTGTCAACATAATCGGCCTACTGAGCATACTATTCGCAACACCATCACCCATCTTGTGACCCAGAATTCATTATTCGATAATAATCGAAAGAATAGACCAACAAAGGCTTTCTGCACCATCCTCAACTTATCCGCAGCAGAAAATTGGTTCCGTAAACAAAATTTAATGCAAATTCTTTGCTCAACRAATWTCGACATCGCAAAAAACGAAAAACTCACTTTTAGCAGCTCACAAAACGACACGTATCTCAAACACTAATGAATATTTTGACATGAAATTTGACATAAATGTGACTGAAAGTACTACCAACTTAAAAAAAAATTGTTCTCCAAATCCTTCGACGCGCGCAGTTTAAATTCAAATGTCACCTCATTTTTTGGGCACAGGAATGCATGGAAGAGTTCATGCGGCTGTTTGGATTAGTATAAAAAATTTCAATTTATATTTTTCAAGTCAAAATAATTAATTACGATATATAATTAAAAAAAAAAAAATATTGTTATTTACCATGAGTTTGTTTCTTTTAATTCTTCAACCATTTATTACACAATAATCGTACTGTATATTGAGCAATCTGTTGCCAAACCGACAGTAGATGATGCACGACACGATCTGTGATTTTGACAACTTTGTCACTGATTTGCCATAAAAGAGAACTAGCAAGTAAGGAATGGCAAAGTTCGGGTATAATCTCGCAATTTAATTGGCTCAAAGGTAATCAAATATTATTAGTTGCCGATCGACAAAAGTTTATATTAAATAGACAAACGTTACAAAAAAACATTCCTTATTTCAAAGAAGGATAAAATTATTAAAATAAAAATTGATGTCTTCTTAATTTACTCTATATGTCATATACTCACGTAGTTTCTTTGATTTACACTAAAACAACTCACATATTCACTGATATGAACACTATTATCAGGAAAAGATTTTATCTGAATTTCAGAGTATAGTTGCGAAATTTATCCATACTTTAAGTAAAATAACATTTATACAGGGCTTGTCCGGAAAGTAATAGGATACTGAGTAGATTTAATAAAAATTTATTGAATCAATCGTTACAATTGTTTAAAAAATTCAAAATAGGTGCATTCTGCGTCATTGCAGCGCTGCCAGCGCGATTGCCAAGCATTGAAGGCGTCACGGTAGGCATTCTCCGGAATAGTCTTGGGAGCCGAGGTTCATGCTGCTTGGATCCCCTCTGTTGTCTCAAAATGCTTGCCTTCCATCGGACTTTTCAGGTAAGGATTTGCTTATTCCTGTATATTCTGCGATTACGTTATCCAAAAATTGGGGGTCACTTCCACACATGTTCAAAATTTCTTGGCACATTTTCTAGTCATCAGTGAGCATTTTTGGGACCATCTTTGCACACATGTTCAAGGGGTCCGCCACAATGTCATGAACTACAGATTTTGATAAATTTAACATCTGGGCAATTACGAATACTCAGTCGACTCTTCGCGACCCTCCAAAAAGTCCTGGTTCCACAGAAACACACCACTTCTTGTTAAACCAACATCTGGAAATTTAATCGCATACTCTAACGAACGCTGCATTTTCGGCTTGCACTCACAGAAACACGCGGAAATGTTGGTCCTGACTCTCCAGGTGCTAGGAGACAACTGAACAGCCGCTCGTTAGTTAGCTAGTTAGGGTATCTGCACGCTTAAAAAGTTGTGGTCCGATTTCAGCAATTTTTAAGCATAATATCATGTTTCTAAGATATTCTTTACATAGATTCCGACACTTTCTTTGTTAGTTGATTTCTACACTGTAAAGTGAAAGACTAATGTCAAAATTTTGTTATGCACCGAATTTTATATGATTTTGATGTTTTAGTTAGTCATCTAAAAATGGGCGGTGCAGCGCCCATTGTTCAGTTGTGATATTTACTCCTACGAATCTCTCTCCTGCCGTCTTGGATTTAAAATTTAATATCTCTGACAAATTCGTTGTGCACTTTT